AGTTTCTTCTTTTTTAAATACTCAATCATTTGGCTGTATACAGTTCTTTCCAGAATCTTTGAGATAGAAGTGAGTGTACTAATTGGACGGTAGTTACCAACATTTGTACGATCATTCTTTTTGAAAACAGGATAGATAGGATTTTTGCGTTTTTAAAGTCAAGAGGAACTGTGTTACACCTAATGGAGAAATTAATAATAAATGCAATTTCTTTCTTAATGGCACTTGCTCCATCTTTGAAAACCTTGGCAAAATACCATCGAGACCTGTGGCTTTAGAATTTTTTTAGTTCAGATTTGATGAATTCTTTATTAATCTCATGGAGTTGGACGTGCTCTAAGGGGTTTACTTTAGCCTAGTAGAATTGCTTGGTAGACTGTTTACTACCTATTAGGGAGTTATTGATTTGAGGGAGTTTAGTGACAAGATCTGAGGCAACATTGATGAAGAATTCATTTAATTTGTCAGCAACTTTTTTTGGTTCATCAATAACATGATTATTTATTTTTAAAACGATATTAGGGCAGTTATTATTAAGACATTTTAGATGTTTCCATAGTTTAAAAAAAAATTGTTCTTACATTCTTTAAACTTAGTCAAAAGATATTTGATTAGTTTCTGAATTTTGTTACTCATCTTACAATACGTACTATATGGGTTGTTTTTGTTTTTGTTGCGTTTGTACTGACGTAATAGCCTATCTCGTTCATATATGCCGCAAAGTTGATCCACTCCTCTGAGCGTTGCTTTATTCTGACTTTCTTTAGAGGAGCTACAGTATCAACTACTGCAGAAAAACACGCTTGAAATTTTTTTCACGCTGCGCCAGGTTCAGTAGATTCATATACTTCCAACCAATCAGCGTCTTGTAAGTTTTGAAGCGATATCCTCAGGATCATATTGTTTAAGTGTAAACATTTACAATTGTCATACCGCGGCCGTAGTTGCTTCTTTGTACAATAAATTAATAGATGATCACTCAGTCCAATGTTAATGACGCCCGATTTACTTATTTTGCTGGGGGTATTGCAGTTTATGTGATCAGTTATGGTTGACGTTTCTGAAATAATACGTGTTTCTTCTTTAATTAACTGTTGAAGACTCAGTAGTTTGGTGGTTTTAGCATATTGTTTGTACAGGGGGGTGTTTTTAGAATTTAGGTCTATATTAAAATCACCAAGGATAATTTGCTCGAGGTCAGGTCTGATTTTCATCAGAACTTTCTCAAATAGTTTGACAAAACCAGCCTGTTGTGGTCTGTATATGACTCCGACAATAATTGGATTTTGGTAAAAGCAGATCAATCCATATGGCTTCAAGATCAGTACTGCTCAGATCAACTGGCATTGAAGGACAACCCGTCTTTAATATAAACACATACTCCTCCCCCATTTCTGTTCCGGTCTTTCCTTATGAAATTAAAATTGTTGATCTTTATCTGATCATTTGAGACAGACTCGTCCAACCATGTTTCAGATAGTGACAGGACGCTTGTATTAGTTGTTCTTGCAAGTTCTTTAATCTCTGATATTTTAGGAAGAAGTGATCTTATAATCATTCAGGTGCACAAAGTGCAAACCCTTATTTTTTAGAACTGATTTGTCCATTTCTGGGAACTGGCCTGGATGGACCTGGGTTAAGTTTGATGTCCCCAGCCAATAAAAGTCCACACATGAAGATCATCCTGTTTATTCGTGTTCTGTATACACAAACTTTGTATTTGCTTTGTTTTCTTGTTGTATTTATGTTGAGGGAATTCATAAAATTGTAAATTTTTTTGTATCCATGATCAAAACATTTTTTCGGCTTGCAGTTCACTAAAAATTTGTGATAATTCATGCTTGTATCCAATGTAGCTTTGTTATTACGGTAGTAAAATGAGTCACTGTTATTGTACTTTATGACGCACAACAAATAAAAAATAGCATGACAAACATGCTCTTCGAACAATTAAATGCCATCGGTTTTAGTTTTGGTTTGGTTGTTTTTTGTTTTTTTGTTTTTTATTTGTGGATAGGATGTCAAAAGCAGTGCGCGTACAATAAGAAAAGTACACCGTAGAAACTATTGTATTGCAGTGGATGCTATGCAAGTGAGCTACGAGGTAAACACAATGTAGATCGATGACAGTTCAATCGTTGACAGTTTGTGGTGTTACGTAATCAAAACTCCGATGTAGCTCACTGTGCGGCGATCAAACAAAGATGAGTTCAAATGTTGAAAAATTAGAAACAATGAAATGACCAGTACCTTTTTGGATGTTTTAGCTTACTAATGAAAAGCCTGTCTTGAAATAAAATATGTATTATTTTAATTTTAGCTAGTAAATCCATGTAATAGGTCCAGGCCAGACCTGTCCACCCTCAGGTAGTGTACTCGTCAAAAACTCACCTGGTCAGATTTATGTATTGCTGCCGAGAAGATCCAAATTTCGAAGAGCTACCTGTTGGCTTCTAACGTATGACTCATATATTTATTTTAATGCTCAATGCTCAGATGGCATTAATTATACAATTATTTCTTAAACATTTCTTGTAAAAGAAAGAATTGTTTGAAAGCTACATATTCTGATGTAGATTACAGTATTTTTGTTTGATTCATGACTAAATTTAATCTTCTCTCCAATATAACAAAATACATATTTTAAGCCTAATAGATTGAAATGTTCCTACTGGTTTCTACAGTAAAGTTCATAGCATTATTCTTGTCTAATCTGCTGTAATATCATTCTTATTGCAGTTTTATCAGATACTAGTGAGACATTCAAGGAGTAATAGATCTTATTCATTCATTTTTCATTTATTTATTTCTCTCTAAAAACATACAAAATACAAAAGACAAGAACAGAACGGCGCAGTGATAAACAAGAGAGCAAATCCAAAATCAAACTAAAAGAACTATTGAGTTGTCCTCAAAACAAATTAAAATTATCACAAATTTCAACAATAGAAATAAAATATAAGAATAGAAAAAAAAAATGAATAGGCCTAACAAATAAATCAATAATAAATCAAAAATTTAATAATTCAAGATTTTTTTTTTCAAATCAACCACTAACCATCACTGACCTGGATCATATTAATCTACTACTGTAACTATACTTGAAATGGGGACTATTTGCTTGTTTTGCATTTAAGCATTTCAATATTTCTATCCTGTTATCTTTAGTGTAGTGATTTGCTTGTAGCATAGGAGGGGATATTATTTAATATATTTAAAAAAAAAAACACATTTTATAATAGAGAAAATTCAAATACATTTTGGCAAAAATGACAAAAATAAGATTATGTTCATATAGAAGAATTAAAACATCCACCCACTCCCGCCCCACGATATTCATCCAGTATTCTAATGTGTGGAGAAACATCTTTGGAAAAAATGAGGTGACAAAATGAATAAATTGTAAATTTACAATACAGTCTCCCTTCAGATTTAATGAATCACAGTTCATTTGTTCAAAATTATCAATATTCATCTTGTGTGTTCAATATATTATAATCGTATCCTCAAAAGCAATTAGAACTTGACGTAAGCCCCTACTGGTAAAGAATCTGCACTTCCTTGAAGCAATACACAGGCTATCAACATATATTTTGCTAATGAGGATATGTTTTTTACAACTCCCATGCCTAGTTTTTTTCATCGTATATATCATTTGTGAGGAGTATTGCATGTGCAGCTGTCTCGCCGGTTTCTATTTCATTATAAATTGCTCCATTATATTATAGTATGTTGATCACTGTACCTGTAAGATGCGATATTGATTCTGTTAATTGCGTATTCAACCAGTACTCTCTTATTTCTCTACGATTTCAGCTCATTTTTTTGACGGACGCGAGACCTGATTAATAAAAACACCAGAGATACATATGCTAGAATTTTTTTGGGTTTATTGACTGAAATATATATGAGCACCGTCATTGCAATTAGTAAAAAGTAAAATAAATTGCAGTGAATCACAAATTTTTTCACTCGTGTTTAGAAAACAATGAAGAATTATTTCTCTCATAACTAAAAAGACTGATCATAAGTTATTGTATAATCATGATACTGAAGACGATCCCTAGTATAAACTAAGACAATACTGTACAATAGATAATACATTGTACCCTAGTCCCTCAGGTATAAGCCCACCTGAGGTATAAGCCCATCCCCGGGGAGCTCACTTGTATACCAATCTTACTGGGGGTGCAGCAGACACTCCAAGACATGAGACACTTGTGCTACCTATTTTACTGAAAATTATTAGGGACTTGAACTACCATTTACAAAAAAACCAGTGTCAGTTGAACTACTATTACGGCCATGTAACCTACCAAATTAAACTTGTACTGGTTCCCGATAGCGAATAAGGCCGCGGTTCGGTCTGTTCGTGATACCTACTGTTCGTGGCTATGTGTCAACAGTAGGTTTAGCACTGAGCTTAGCAAAAAATCTTCTCTAAAATCGTGTGAAAAATTATGCTACTTTGATATGGGACTGGGCAGGGACTTTAACTACCAATTTTACCTAGGTATTTCCCACACTTGTGCTACTAAATCCTCTCAAATACACCCTATACATGCTGAAACTCTTCTATAAATTCCCACACTTGTGCTACCAAGTCCTCAAAAATACCCCCATAAATGCGGCACCTACCTGTATAGAAATATTTAAGAGTGAGCACCCCGGGAGCCCACCCCACACTTTACATCCAATTTTACCAGCCTTTTCTTGGGCAAAAGCCCAGGGATTCATTTTAATTAGTAACTTAGCTAATTTTTACAATTAATCTAAAAAATATCAAATATTGGCTTTGCATTAGGGATATAGTGATGCAAAATTGCGTTTTGATTGAAATGGAGATTCCCCGGGTATAAGCCCACTCCCAAAATCGGCCCAATGTACGGTGTTCAAGGAGAGTGGGCTATACAGTACCAACAGAACTATGGCATTAAAAAAAATACACAGATATATTTTCAATTTATAAATTTAATTATCTTATTTTATTATTTCAACAGATTATTCCTTGGTACTACTTATTAAAGGAGGGCATTTGTCTGGCCGTGACACATATCAAGGGCTAGTAGAAGTAGCGTTTGGTAGATTCGGCTACTATTTCCTAACCGTTATCCAATTTCTCTATCCCTTCATTGGTAAGCATATAGAATTTTTTATTAAGACAAGTTAATGATAAACAGGATGTACTTTTATAGTTTTTATGATCATTTGGTTTCCTTCTCGTAAATGTTATAATTAACATTTTTTACTCTAAAAATACTTTAAGTTTAAGACAGAAAGCTGGCATAACTAAGTAATAGGAAAATAATTTGTTTTTGGTTATTCCGTTATTTTGTTTTAGTAAATATTAGCTACAATGATTGCTACTGTATTTGAATGAACTAAAATGAGAACTACATTTATTATTCACTTCAGCAATGATCAGCTATAATGTCATCATTGGAGATACGATTACAGCAGTTTTTATAAGAGTCTTTGATGGTGAGTTTTAAATCTTACTACAGAGTCGACCTATAATATTAGTATATTTTTTTCTAATTTTTTATATTTTGTTATCTGTGATGGGCCCAACAGTATTGCTATAATCTATGCAGACAGTTTCATAGGCATCTTAATTTACATCATCAAGCCTAGTTATAAAGCATAATGTCTCGTATCCAATATTTATTAATGTAATTGTCGCTGATAAGTGCGACAGGTAATAGTTACAAGACATCCATTACACTTGTACCGGTAATTTAGTCCATGTTTCATCCATCTTGTATTAGTATTAGACAGTGTATTCAGGTAATTGATATTCACCAAGCAGAAATAATGGTAATATATTATAAATACTAATTATAATAATGGTGTGGGTTAAAAATGAAAGTAAAATAATAATAAATAATAACATTTTTAAAATTGAAAACTCTTCAGAGAATAAAAACTGTTGTGGTAACAATGCCAGACAGAGATACTGTAGGTTTTACCCTATCAGTATTCTTTGAAACTAACAATGTTCTTTTTTTTTCAGAGGAACATGTGCTGGCCAATCGCTACTTCGTTATATCATTAGTAACTGTATTTATAACATTACCAATATCATTATACCAGAATGTTGCTAAGTTAGTCAAGGTAAGTGGAGTGATAATAAGTCTGTTTAAGCTGTCCAAAAAAAATATTTGGTAATTTGGTATGAAAATAAATGGCTTTTATTAGGATTTGGCTAATGACCGTCAGCTTAAAATCTAGTTTTTTAACGTTAGAAGAGATTTTTTACGTTAATAAAACATAGATGAACAAAAATATTTTCAAACTAGCTTTGTCTTGTATTCATAATTAACAAAAATACTATGCAATATTAACAGTGCCATTAAGAGGCAGTATTGTATGTATGCAGTACATTACACCTGTGAAAAAGACAGTAACATAGACTTTAATACAGTGAGCAAAGAATGATTCTGATAACAACACAATTTTAATACCAATTTGTGCATAACTTATTTATAAATCATATAAAACTGCCTATTCTTTTGGAAATGCACTATTTGTTAAAATGTGATGTGAAAACTGATGCAATGAACATATGCTAATTATTTGTTTTATTTTATTTTATTATCATTTTATTGATGTAATGTACATAGAGGCTATGTAATATACTTTGCATGTAACATTATTAATATTACTAGCATGGTGTTGAATGAGTGGGGAAAGGTGGCGATGTATATAGGTGAGTGGGAGGCATTGGCGGATCTGACCCCCCCTCTCCCCCTTTGGAGAAAACATTAATTAAAAAGAAAATTTTTAAAAATTGCATACCAAAAATATATGTATGCAACTACTGAATTTATTTTTCTGTATGTACATAATAGAGAAAAATTTACCTGACCATTTTCAAGAGGGAAAACCTTGAATTCTGAAAAACTTAAAAGTCATTAAAATACACTTTAGAAGTCAGGAAAGCTCATTTCCTACCATCTAGGAATCACAATTTTCCCGGGGAAAACCCCTCCCCCCTTTCTCTTTGGGGTTTATCAATGCAACTTATCCAACTACTGTACTCAATTTTTTATGTATAGGCCTATTTACTGTAATATATCGGGAAAGCTCACTTCCTGCCATGTAGGACTCAACAATTTTCCCATATGTGTATAGTAAATCTATCTTCTATGTAATAACATATTAACTCCGACGTGTTCATTGTTTGAATGTGGTGTTTTGGTATTGTCTCTGAATATATATGGCTATAGAATGTGTGCATGTGGGACTTGTATCATGATTGTTAGATCGGGTGCATGACAAATGACGTCACGATAGTTATGAGATTTGGAAGAAATTTAAAGGCTTTAAATTTATAAAATTAGGAAGAGATGTACATATCATATTTTTGGAGATTTCAAGGCAGCAGGAGGCGTAATAAAAATAAAGAAAAATTTTTTTTTTTAAATTTCCATTTTTTCGTAGTTGTGGATACACTAATTGGCCAAAATAAACTAAACAAGGTATTGTTATAAACAAGTCTCACCTTAACCCTCTGGATACCGGATTCTTTTGTAGTGCAAACCCTTGAATACCGGATTCTTTTGCAGTGTAACAAGGTTTTTTGCGTTTTTTGAGTATACGTCGTTCTGGTGAATTTTTGCGGAACTTTCTGTAAATTATACAGAAAAATGTTTCAAAAACAAAGAAAGCTTATAGAATAAGCTTTCATTTGATGTATAATTTATATTTTTGGGAATTTTTTTTCATAATATAATATAATATAATATACTGNACAGAAAAATGCTACATATAAATCGTCAGCAAAAACCGAAAAAAAAAAAAAATTATAGCCAAAAAAAAATAAAAACAAATATAAAACATTCCTATTCCACACAGTTATATAATTTATTTACCCAACCATCCATAACTATAAGCGCGATCTTCCCATTCAAAAGCGTCGACTACCCTCACATTTCTAGGCCTAGGCTCATCTTCATCAAGAACATCTCCGCCGTCAGAACTGCTTGAAGCCCCACAGTCATCATCATTTTGAAAAATTTTTGAAATTAATAACGATTTCAAATTGATATTTCTAAAAATTTTTATATAAGCGCATGTGAGTTCTACACAGATTTCGAAAGACAAAAGCTTCACGCATGCGTGTTCAAAATTTCTGACGTATTGGAGCTAACATAAAAACAGAAGAGCGATTTGAAAACCACCTATTTTTTAGTCACGAAATTTCGATTGCAGTCGAAAATGGGAATTCTCGGTTTGAGGTCAATTTCGATTACAGTCGAAGACGACATCTAGAGGGTTAAGCCTCATAAAGAATATAGAGAGGGAGAGCACAATTACATCTTTTCATGTAAGTGAAAAATTGCTGCTGGAAAACATAAATTACAAAATAAATATATAATAACACTGTAAACACTGTTTTGTTGAACCATTATAGTGTGCAATATGTTGTAGGTCGTAAGAAACTGTATGGTAATATACACACAATGTTGTAATGGTAGTGACAGTGATAATAATAATAATAATAGTGTAGTTTTATATAGCGCACAAATCCATCTACACGTTTATAGTACACCAACTTAATAAGCAATGATTTATAGGGTTAGATCTTAATCTGATTTTAACTACTTTGCAATATCATCATGTTATCTGTAACAATATATCACAATTATCATGATAGCAAAAATTCTGAAATAATATAAAAAAGATCATTAAGCATTACATTAAGCATGTCAAATAATAAGATAATGCCAGTCTTATAGTGCATTATGCTAAGCCTATGTGCTTGATGTTGTTATAACACTGGCCATTGAATCAAAACAGTGAAGCTCTGTCTACACTATCACATTTTTTGTGACACATTTGTATGATGTGCCCATATATGGGCATGATGATGTCATATATACCCAAAATGGTCATATCACATTTATTGTCACATAAAATCTGATAGTGTGGCCTTTTTCTACTGAAATAATTAATTATTCCGAATAGGTTATTCAGACAGATTCAGACAGTCTGTTTGCTACTGTATTTTTGCAGTTGGAAAATCAGTTCTTGATCCTACCAAGTACCCACTTATACTAATACTATATATATACTGTCTCTTATACACATCTAGATGTGTATAAGAGACAGGTATAGGCCTATTTACTGTAATATATCGGGAAAGCTCACTTCCTGCCATGTAGGACTCAACAATTTTCCCATATGTGTATAGTAAATCTATCTTCTATGTAATAACATATTAACTCCGACGTGTTCATTGTTTGAATGTGGTGTTTTGGTATTGTCTCTGAATATATATGGCTATAGAATGTGTGCATGTGGGACTTGTATCATGATTGTTAGATCGGGTGCATGACAAATGACGTCACGACAGTTATGAGATTTG